GGAAAGTGAGGTTGTCGTCGCCGACTACAAGCACAACGACTGCCTCGTTTAGATTCTCAAGAATCTTGGCCAGGCCGTCCAGGTGCAAGCGGAGATGGCGAACTGTCCGCTTTCGAGTCTGGATGCTCGGCGGTTTCTTGCCGCACACGATGTGCATGTTGGCGATCACCACGTGGAACTTGTCATGGCCTGGTTTGTTCACCTCAAAATGTGAAATAACAGCATCAATATCTCGGCCGCTAGGAGGCCTGTAAACTTTGCTGTCTTCGCACAGAGTCAGTTCCGCAGGCTGAGAAGCACCGCGGAACCCCCAGAGAGTCAAGTAGTTGTCGACCTCCAAGAAGCGAATGCCATCACCGAAAGGCTTACTGAGGATGTCTGTCACGTTGATCCCTGCTCGGCGAAAGCCTTCACGGAACGCACCGACCTCGCAGCCACAGACCATATCAGCATCAGCGGTCTCCACTATCTTGGCGCACAACCTTCCGAAGTTAGCGCAGTGAGTGGCCGCCTGCTTACCAGTCATCATGCCCTGCTCGAACCCGAAATTGAACGAGGCGACCGTGAAAGACGCAGGCTGCACAGCGCCAGAACCAGGCGTCTGTCCACCTTCCTCCGCAGGCTGAGAAGCACCGCGAGGCGGCGCAGGCTGAGAAGCACCGCGAGGCGGCGACACTTCGGACGAGCCTCGCGGAGCAGAGGCTGCGGATGAACGTTGGACATGGGGGTACGGCCAGGGGAACGCCATTGCAATCAAAACTCAGTGGACTGCAGTGAATGAATGTAGTGGCCAATTGAATGCAGAGGACTGCAGTGTCACTAGCAAGTCCTGAACCAAACACAGCTGTGGCGGAAGGAATATGAAGCGTCTGGCTATTCAAAATGTTGCCCGGCAATGTCCTCCTCCTCCTCCTCCTCCTCCTCCTCGTCCTCCTCCTCCTCTTCCTCCTCCTCCTCCTCCTCCTCCTCCTCCTCCTCCTCCTCCTCCTCCTGGTAGTCCTCCCCCTCCCCTCCTCCTCCTGGTAGCCCAGGAATGGGAGTTTTGGGAACTCGAAGAGCACGAAGTGGCCTACAGTTGGCTCCGGGCATTCAAAATGTGGCCCGGGAATGGAGTTCTGGGAACTCGAAGAGCACGAAGTGGCCTACAGTTGGCTCCGGGCATTCAAAATGTGGCCCGGGAATGGAGTTCTGGGAAATAGAAGAGCACGAAGTGGCCTACAGTTGGCTCCGGGCATCCAAAATGTGGCCCGGGAATGGCGTTCTGGGAACTCGAAGAGCACGAAGTGTGTGACTGTTGCATCCGGCCCCCCAGAATGTGGCCCGGGAATGGCGTTCTGGGATGTCGAAGAGCACTTTGTGTGTGACTGTTGCATCCGGCCCCCCAGAATGTGGCCTGGGAATGGAGTTCTGGGAAGGCGAAGAGCACGAAGTGTGTGACTGTTGGTGAAAAACGAACCCGGCTCATGCCGCCCGGAAACGCCCCAACACCTGCCCGGACCCCCCTGTGGAGTGATCTGTGAGCTCTTTTGAGTCAACTAGAAACCTATCAGTCTTCGCTGTTAGGTAAAAAACACTAATGTTCCATAGGTTTCCGAAGGATTTTGACATTTACTTCGTTTCGGCCTTCCGACGGCCCGAGACGGCCCAAGAGCCCCCAAAGATCGCCCAAGTACTGGCCAAGAAGCCTCCAAGACGGCCCCAGAACGGCCCAAGAGCGCCCCAAGACGGCCCAAAGAGGCCCCCAAGACGGCCCAGGAGGCCTTTCAGAAGCCCAAGATGGCACTAAGATGGCCCAAGACGGCCCAAGAGGCCTCCAAGAAGACATCCAGGAAGGCCAGAAAAGACCAAAATCATTGATTTCCCATGAGTTGTTTAAGTATTGTGGCATTTGTTTTTATTCTGCCTTCCGACGGCCCGAGACGGCCCAAGAGCCCCCAAAGATCGCCCACGAAGCCCAAGACGGCCCCAAGAGGCCCCCAAGACGGCCGAAGAGGCCTCCAAGACGCTCCAGATGGCCTCCAAGACGGCCCAAGAGCCTTCCAAGACGTCCTCCAAGAAGGCCCGAAAGAGTCAAAATGGCCTCCACACGGCCAAGATGACCTTCAAGATGCCCACGTGTTCCCCGCAGGCTTTCCGAACCGATTCGGGGAACACATGGTCCGATAGCTTGGCAGGTCGGGCCTCAACGTTCGGCCACAAATGCGCTTCCACAAAGGCAGGGGGCGGCGGTGATTCGCCGTAGGCGTCTTCGATCCGCCGCCCCCTGTCGCTTCATCGCAGGGGTGCCTGGCGTGCAAACATGATTTCGGCTTTGGTCTTGGTTCTTTTTCAAAAGAACTCCCGCTGGGGCTCCAGCGCGTCCCGCCAGGGCTCAACGTCAGACGGCTCAAGATGGCCTCCGAGACGGCCAAGATCGCCCTCAAGCTCGCCCAAGATGGTCCAAGACGGCCTCCCAGACGGCCCAAGAGCGCCCCAGATACGTCCAAGTTCGCTCAAGAAGCCTCCAAGACGGCCCAAGAGGCCCCCAAGAGATCCTCCAGGAGGGCCCGAAGAGGCCCAAATCGCTGATTTCTCTTAGGGTGTTGAAGAATTTTGGCATGTGCTTCTTTTCGGCCTTCCGACGTCTCAACAGGGCCCACGAGGCCCCCAAGATCGCCCCAAGATCGCCCACGAGGCCTCCAAGATGGCCCCATGACAGCCCAAGAGGCCCCCAAGACGTCCCCAAGAGGGCCCCAAGACGGGCCAAGAGGCCTCCAGGACGCCCAAGATGGCCTCTAAGACGGCCCCGAAGCGCCCCAAGTGGGCCCCAAGCCAGTTCAGAGAGGCCCCCAAGACGGTTCCCGACGGCGTCAGACGGGCCAGGAACCCACCAAGATGGCAGAAAATGGCTCGAAGCTGGCCCAAGACGGCCCAAGAGGCCTCCAAGAGGGCCTCCAGGAAGGTCAGAAAAGGCAAAAAACACACATGCTCCCTAAGTTTTTGAAGGGTTTTGGAATTTGCTTCTTTTCGGCCTTCCGACGGCCCGAGACAGCCAAAGAGCCCCAAAAGATCGCCCAAAGATCGCCCAAGAGGCCTCCAGGATGGCCCCAGAACGGCCCAAGAGGCCCCCAAGAGGCCCCCAAGACGGCCCAGGAGGCCTTTGAGACGCCCAAGATGGCCTCCAAGACGGCACTGGAGCATTCCAAGAGGGCCTCAAGTCGGCCCAGAGAGTCCCCCCAAACGGCTTCCGACGGCGTCAGACGGGCCAGGAGCCCACCAAGACGGCCGAAGATGGCACTAAGATGAACCAATGGCCCAAGACGGTCCGAAAGGCCTCCAAGAGGGCCTCCAGGAAGGCTCGAAAAGGAAGGATTGTGGCATGTGCTTCTTTTCAGCCTTTCAACGGCCCGAGACGGCCCAAGTACCCCCAGAGATCGCCCACGAAGCCCAAGACGCCCCCACGAAGCCCTCCAAGGCGGCCGAAGAGGCCTCCAAGACGCTCAAGATGGCCTCCAAGACGGCCCAAGAGCCCTCCAAGACGTCATCCAAGATGGCCCGAAAGGGTCAAAATGGCCTCCACACGGCCAAGACGACCTTCAAGATGCCCACGTGTTCCCCGCAGGCTTTCCAAACCGATTCGGGGAACACACGGTCCGATAGCTTGGCAGGTCTGGCCTCAACGTTCGGCCACACATATGCGCTTCCAAAAACGCAGGGGGCGGCGGTGATTCGCCATGGGCGTCTTCGATAGATAAAACCACAAAACCAGAAGGCCGGCCAGACTCCCAGGAAGCCTCCCCAAACACGAGGATATATCTCAAAGGCATTCCGCCCACAACCAGGCACGGTGGCGGGATGGGCCGCATGCCACAGGTGATTAGCAATGAAAGGACCCCTAACCCGTTAAGGAGCGGACCTACGTTAAGAGGCCCAAAAGCAGTGAGGACAAGGGGCCTTCGCAGTAGATGTGCCAGACCCACCGCCCAAATCAGATTCCTGATGCAATAACGGGGACACTAGCTTAGGCGACGTCTTCACCGTGTTATCAGGGGCAGGGGTTCTTGTAGTACCGATGGACCTGAGAAATCTATTCCTTCTACAAAGATCAGGCCCGGCTAGCCTCCCTACCGACGGCGCCTAGCTTAGGCTACGTCTGCACCGTGTTATTAGGGGCAGGGGTTCTTGTATTACCGATGGACCTGATTATTCTGTCTTCTATATAGATCAGGCCCGGCTGGCCTCCCGACCGACGGCGCCACCGTGCCTACCAGGCGCCAGGGCGCCCCGCGGCGCGCACGGGCGCGCAGCGCACACGAGGTGCAGCTGCGTCGAACTGCGAACCCGACACCTGCGGGCCCCACCGACGCGTGGGCGTCGGACACCCCCGCTGGGGCCCACCTGCGTGCAGGCATCCTTCCCGGAGGCTGCGGAGGCTGCGGTTTTTCCCCCCGGTCTCGCCCTCCCCCTTCCTCCTCCCTCTCCGCTGTGTCCTCCTGTGCCACTGGGCTTCGCTGGACAGTAAAAAAAAGTGTGCATGCATCCTTCGAGCTCTGAACCCAGGCCGGAGCACGTGAAGGGGCAGGGTTCACCCCAGACCCCGGACGTCGCGCTCTTTCACAACGTGGACCCCCTAAAGTCTGGACGCCTTCCCAAGGACCGTTTTTTTCAGCCTGAGCTGTTTTTTGGACGGTCCCAGAGCGCGGCGAAGGTTCCCGGAAGCCGAATACGACAGAGTAAAACCCCGCCGAAGATTCCTCCCACGACGCGAGGGGTCCTAAGATATGCGGCTGCCGATGCAACAAGTGAGCGACGAGGAGAAAGGGTCTTACGAGAGATGACACAGCGACCTTGCGCCGCGGCTTACGCAGGCAGCAGGCGCGGCGCGCCAAATTGGAGACGAGGACCCTGACTCGCGACCTTACGCGAGGAGCTTACGCGCAAATGTCGGCGCAGTTGAACTCGTCTTTCTCTTCGTCGCTCAGGCGAGGAGTGCTCCGAGAGACGAGCCACAAAAGCGCCACCCTGGCCCCGCGCCAGCACCTCCACGCGCCTCGCGGCCTCCCGCATCCGCTCGGGGCTGCCCAGGGCCTCCAGAGCGCCCTGGGCCGACGCGTCGACGGCGCCTCCCAGCAGCGCCTGCCGCCGCGGGCGCCGTCGTCGTCCTCGTTCTCCTCCTCGTTGTCCTCGTTGTCCTCCTCGTCCCCGCTTTCAAACATGTTGGCATTCGTACGAATATGACTCATATTGTCGCATGCGCTTGCACAAATTATGGTGGCTCTGGGTGGTATTCGGAGGTTTTCCGGGAAAGAAAGGTAGAACATGCAGAGGAAGGAGGAAGAGAAGGAGAAGGAGGAAGAGGAGAAGGAGGAGGAGGAGAGGGAGGAAGAGGAGGAGGAGAGGGAGGAGCTGGAGGGTTGAGGTGGAGGGTGGAGGCCGCAGGTGAGAGATGCGAGGTTGGATGTGGGAGGCGGGAGGTGAAGGTGCATCAAGGAAGAGAGAGGAGGAGGAGGCAGGAGGCAGGAGAGGAGAAGGAGGACGAATGAATGGGAGGTGGAGGTGGTCCGTGGAACGCGGGGAGTCGACTTAGAGTTGGAGGCGGAGGTGGTGCAGGAGCAAGAAGGAGGAGAGACCGAAGAGAAAACAGGGGAGGGGGAGGTGGAGGAACGTCCACGCCGACCACGACTGCCGACGAGGTGACCATCGACCCCGCCCCGCGGCACCCCCCCACTTCCTCTGCCTTGGCGCCCCTGCTTCCTCCCCTCCTCCTCCACAATTAGGGACTTCTGAATGCGGATGACCCGCTGGTGCTCTCACAGACGACCGCAATGTTTGGCACGATTTGGGCAACCCATTCACCTCTGAATAAACGAGGAGTCAAACCAAGGAGTTCGGCATGCTCGCGCAGAAACATATGCTCTGCGATGTAGGCCAAACACGCCACCAGCCCTACAGCGGACCGGCCCAGGCGGCGGCTGCGGCGGCACCCAAGACCTTCTCGGGCGTACGCTGGCATGGACTAGAAATGTGTGAATCTGGCACGTGGGGGGGGAACCACCCCGCCAGACATGTAGCCAATGCGGCCAGATTTGGCGGCGGTACTCGTCGGCGTATGGGAACGGGACCCCTGGCCAATCCACGCGCCGTAAGCCATGTTTGCATTTGCGAGGCAGCTCCTCCCCTCCCCAAGGCACCACCACTATTCGGACATGCAGGAAATTGCAAGTCGCATTTCTGACGATGGGCCTTGGCATGGTATGTAGAAACGCCGAAACGCTTGCGCAATCTCGCATTGATGCGCACTGAAATCAACGCCGCAATATAACGAACCGGCTCCTGGAAACCAGGCCGACGAAATTCGCGATGATGTTTCGCAACATGAACCCCCCAAAAAACTGGTCGCTAACTTTTCATCCCGATCCGTTTCTTGACGGCCCTGGGGCCCAGCAAAGCCCCCAAAATGCGAAAACCCTCCAAAACCGTCCGCTACAACTTTTGTCGCCGAGGTACTGGCTTCCTGCCCATCAACTCGCGACACAGGCGGCCGTCCAGGACGATCACAGCATCCCCAAAACGCCCTCCACAAGGCGCAATTGATGGAACACACCTGGGCGGCCAAAATCTACGGAATGTCCGAAAACAATTTGTTTACGGTATCAGCAAAAAGCGATCCGCAAAAACGTTGTGATTTGTCCACTGCGCGACGCCTGGGCTTCGGCTAAGAGGGAACGATCGGGGGGGACTGGCTCAGGGGACGGCCGTCGACCTCGAGTCGGCGATACATCGCCGATGGATCGGCGACACGCCCCCGATAGCGAACCCGTTCGTTCCTGAACGTGGGCGGACAATCGGGTTTCTACCGGCGATCAACGGCGAGTGGGTGTCGGCGCATCCCCCCTGAAGCCAAATCCCCCCTGTCGCGCGCCCGAATTTGGTACCGGAACAATGGATACGATACCCTACAGCAAACGTTGTCCAACACCGGCAGCGGCCGCTGTGGGGCAGGCGTTTTCTTGTCTCAGACGGGCAACTCCCACGGCGAAGCCGACAACTAACATATGTCGAACTCGATAAGAATTGTTGTCAGTCCTCGTCACGCAGTGGTGTTCGGTTCATAAGTCGGATTTCCGAAAGCTGATCGGGACGATTCCGGAACCACCATAGCGGGTTTGTAAGACTTGCGAACACCCCATACCCTACTGTCAGGATCGTTTTGCTTAGCGAATCGCGGCGGCGGCTTCGGCGACTCGGTATCCCCTGCAGGCGGATGGCATGTCGCTCCGCTCCGCGAGGCGGGATGCTCGGAAAGGTTCGGGGCATTGGCGCGCAGGGACCACACGAAGTGGATCGCGTGTCGCGCTGAAACGCGGTGGGCCAGAACCAGTGGCGCAACACACGAATCCAAAATTCCTGACTGTACTCCTGCCGTCCGTCGGTCGTCGTCAACGGGTTGTTTTCGGGTCAGAGCTCGGGTCTGTCGCGGCAAGTCGGGACGAGTCCAACACTCCCAGAACGCCCTCGACGAGGCGCACCTGATGAAGCCCAACCCACGCTCGGGAAACTGTACAGCCGAAAAACTGCGGAAACCCTTTCTGAACCTGTCGCGGAACCAAACAAATACACGAACCCATGCCGTCCGTCGCAGATTCGAACGTGCCCAATCCAACTCGGGAAGATCGACGAAGGTACGGAAGCACAAAGTCCATCAGCAGGTCTTGCTCACTCTGAACAGGGTTCGCTGCTGGCGAAGTCGCGGCTTCTAGCTGCGCGGCGCGGCAGTGGAAGACGCGGACTTCTGCGCGGAACACACCAAACAGCGGGTCGAGTGCGCTTCCGCGTTGCTGGAAGCTTTGGGGACGCTCGAAAACGGACAGGTCGCACTGCACCTCCTGCGCCGTTGCGCCTCCTTCTGCAAGCTCGGCTACCCCGCGCGCGTGGGTGCCGCCCACCGCGCACACCACCTCTCTCTGCTGGCCATGGACGACGCTGTCCGGGCCTGCCTTGAGCAACTGAGCGGCTGCTCGCCTCCGACTCATCCTGGCGGCAGGCTCAGCTCAAGCTCAACAAGTGAGGAATTGGTCTGCGCTCTGCTGCGAAGCACGCAGCTGCCACCTACATCGCTCCCAGAGCGAAAGGCACCGACCTCTGTCGGCAGCTCTACCCTGGCTACTCCAAGAGGGCTGACCGCGCCGGGGGTCGCCTGGCGGCTGCGGTGCAGGCCCAGAACGCAGTCGTGGCGGCGTTCGACCACGCGCAGCACGGCAACCAGGAGGCCGTCTCCAACGCGGTGGACAGCGCCGCGCTCGACGGGCTCCTGGCGGGCAACACCCTGGCCGGCAAGGCGCACATCTCGAGGCGCATGCCCCAGGCGCTGCCGCGTGGCTCCGGGCGCCGCCCTGCGAGGCCACCGTTACCACATTCCCGCACGGCCTCGCGCAGGTCGGCCTGCAGAGGCGGTCGCGAGCCCAGCTCCTGCAGGAGGAGTGCTTCTGCCCAGCCTGTGGCGAGGTGACGGACGTCTTCTGCGACCACGCCCTGGTCTGCGCCTGCCGCGGCGACTGGGCCAAACGCCACAACGCCATGTGCAACCAGGCCTTCTTCGACGCCCTGGCCGCGGGTCACGCCAGGGCGGAGTTGGAGCGCCTGCATGGGGCTGCTACCTCCGCGCCCCGCCGGGAGGCCACCCCCTGGGGCGAGCAGGACGGGTCCCAGGTGGACGACAACGGCCGCCGCCCTGCCGACGTCTACCTTCCGCGGTTGCGCAACGGCACGGCGGCCGCCTGTGACTGCGCCGCCACTTTAGGGATGCGCGCCGATCTCCTCGCCGCGTCGGCCGTTTCGTCAAGCGCGGTGACAGAACGGTACGAGGAGTTCAACGGGCAGCACCAGGACACCGCACGGCTGCGCGTTGCGCAGGGTTTCACCTTCATCCCATGGCAGTGGAAGCCCACGGCGGCGGGCGGGGCCGCGAGGCACGCAAGGCCTTCGGGGTCCTGGCCAAGCGGGTGGCTGACGCCACGAAAGAAGACGCCGCACTGGTTAAAGCACGCCCGGCGATGTTCTTCCTGTCTCCCTGCATAAGGAAAACGCGCGGGCGGTGTTGCGGCGCCTCCAGACGCAGTCTGGAATGGCGGGGGTGGCAGCGGCCCGCCTAGCTGCGGCCAGGCCTGGTGCCCCCGGCGGTCGGGCGCCCCCCATCACCCCCCTCCCTGCTGAACACGGACGCCCCCCGCGCCCTTTCGCCAGCGTCGGTCGGGCGACCCCTCACGCGCGTCGTCCGGCCCTTCCTCGGCGGGGCGGCGGATGGATCCCCACCAGGCCGCAGCGTGCTGGGCTCGGTCGGCCACCCCGCACAGGTCGCCGCCTTAGGGGCCGTAGCCTCGTCGCGGGTGGATCTTCTCTCCTGGCCCCAGGCCTGGCCTGTCTGCTCGCGGTTGCTTTCGAAGCCCCTCCCCCCCTCCTTGTCCTCCTCCTCCTCCCTCCATTTCTGCTCGCTGCTTCCTTCCGCTTCCGTTCTTCCTGCTCCCTGCCTGCTGTCCCCGCCTGGCCCCTCTTCTGCCTGCCCTGGCCTCCAGCCTGGGCGTTCGTCGTCGTCGTCCCCTTCCGCCAGGCAGCACAGCCTGCCCGGGACCAGCGTGGTGCATACACATGCAGGTGTATCCCCGCGGAGCTCCGACCAGTTCTGCTCCCATGCGTAAGCCTTTCATGTGGATTTGGCGCAGAAGCAAGCTAAAAGGTCGCGGCCATTCTGCATTTGAAACAGAGGGCCGCCCACCCAACAGCGGCCGCTGTCGGTTTGGGACACCACTTGCTGTTGCTTCGTACCCCTTCGGGGCTCGTCTAACTCGGGCCAATCCAGACCCGCCGGGTCCGTCAGGCCCTGCATAATCCTGCAGGAGCCTGCAGAATCATGCACCCAAACCCGGGCCAGTGCGACCCTGGTCCTGCAGGATCAGGCTCCCGCTCAATGCGACCCTGGCCCTGCAGGTCAATGCGACCCTGACCCCTGCCCTGCGACCCTGGCCCTGCAGGTTAATGCGAACCTGGCTCAAACCCGGGGCAATGCGACCCTGGCCCTTCTTCCCGTGCCCGCTCCCGGGCGTCCACAGCAACGCTGCCCCTGACGGCCGCGGCCAGGCACAGGCGGAGCCTCGAGCTGGCGGGCGAGCTCGTCCGCGGCCTCGGCCGCGGGGCACCGCTCCCCGGCGGGCGGCGCCGCGTCGTGGGGGAAGGTCACCTGCGGCGCGGGCGTTTTCTGTCCTGGACGTAGGTCGGGCGTGTCCCCCTACAGGGGATTGTGAAGGAAAAACCAAAATAAATACTCAAACAATACCTCCCGAATGCTCCAAAACAGTCAAATCGTCCCCTACCATGCTTCATTTTTCTTGCAGAGGAGGACGCGCCCGACTTAATCCTGGACGTGGGGAAGAGTCGCGCGCGAACTCCCGGGCAGCAAGAGCAGGGGCCGAGCGAGGCAGACGAGCGAGGGCCACAGGAAGGCCCCACACGGCTGTGGCGCGGGGGGGCCAGAGATGTCCGCTCCGTGGCCCTTCTGGGAGTCGCCCCGAGCAGCGTTTGCACTTCGGGGCTCTCTTGCCTCGGGGATGCCAGGCTCTGGACCGGTGTGCCCGCCAGTGTGGCGGATCCTCCTCCTCCTCCTCCTCCTCCTCCTCCTCCTCCTCCTCCTCCTCGTCCTCCTCTTCCTCGTGTCTAGCCACAATTACCACGCGCTACCAAAAGACCTACCGACTGCAGACCCTCGCTCGCTCGCGCGCGATAAGGCCCGTGACCGGCCACACCGCCCCGCCCTTCACCCCCCCCTGGTCACGTCACGATTGGCGCTGGCGCCGTCTGGGAATGAGCCATCCCTTCTGCTGCATCCTCGGGGGAGCTCATCTGTCCCGTCGCGGCCCTATCCGAATCGAATATCTGTGTCGAATCCATGCCGGCCTCATTGGATCCGTGTCGAATCCGTGTCGAACCCGCGTCGAATCCACGCCAAATCCGCGTCGAGTCCGCATTGAGCCCGCGTCGGGCACAAGAACAGGCAGTCATTTTCGTGACAGGCGAGGTCCCCCGAAGTAACATCCTTGAGCAGTCCAGACGGCGGCTTCTGGTCGGGAAGGTTTGCTTCGCGTGTCGCAGCGGCGACCCGCCGCCACACTGTGCCGCTGTGCCCTGCCGCGGCATGTTGCTCAGCGTCTCGTTTCGCTCCGCGTGGCGGGAGGCCAGAACAGGCCAAAGACGTGGACGGTCGGGGACCGGAACGCGAACGTGGATAGCGTGCCGCGCCGAAGAGCGGTGGGCCAGAGGGTCAGAACCAGAGGAGCGACGCGCTATCCAAAAAGAGTTTCAGTATGTAGATGCTCGCTCTGGGGACCTTACAGGAGCCACTCGCTCCGCTCATGCGTCGATGCTGCGTCGAACGTCCGTCGACTTGAGGCGAGCTTGAGTCCAACGTGAAAGGAACTAGATATAATTTGAGGGAGTTTCTGTGGAACTCACGTCATCCTCACCCCGGCGCGAAGAGCACGAGTCCAGAGCGGCCTCCGGCACCGTTTCCGGACAGATCCGCTGGATCCGGTGGATCCGCCGACGAATCCCAAACCGGCGCCCTCGCCTGAGACATCCTCACAAAACGGGCCCCGGGGGAGATGCCCAGAGGAGCCCAGAGCGGCCTCCGGTACCGTTTCCGGACGGATCCGCTGGATCCGGTGGATCCGACGAATCCCAAACCGGCGCCCTCGCCTGAGACATCCTCGCAAAACGGGCCCCGGGGGGGATGCCCAGAGGAGCCCAGAGCGGCCTCCGGCACCGTTTCCGGACGGATCCGCTGGATCCGCTGGATCCGGTGACGAATCCCAAACAGGCGCCCTCGCCTGAGACATCCTCACAAAACGGGCCCCGGGGGAGATGCCCAGAGGACCCAGGGGTCCATAGGATCAGCTGTGGTGATCCAGGTGTGTTGGATCAGATCTGATGGGTTGGATCAGAAAACGCAGGTCCAAAGGGTACGGATCAGATTTTATGCCTTGGATCAGATTTCATGGATCAGATTATGACGACGACTACTACTTCTACTACTACTACTACTACTACTACTACTACTACACTACTACTACTACTACTACTACTACTACTACTACTACTACTACTACTACTACTACTACTACTACTATACTACTACTACTACTACTACTACGACTACTACTACTACTACTACTACTACTACTACTACTACTACTACTACTACTACTACTACTACTACTACTACTACTACTACTACTACTACTACTACTACTACTACTACTACTACTACTACTACTACTACTACTACTACTACTACTACTACTACTACTACTACTACTACTACTACTACTACTACTAGACATCGCCCCAAGACGCTCAAGATGGCTCAACGACGTTCAAGATTGCTCCAAGACGCCCCAAGACGCCCCAAGAGCACCCCATTGCCCCAAGACTGCTCAAGAGGCCTCCAAGACGCTCCAGGAGCACCCCGAGAGCGCCTTCCTTCTCATCCATATCGTCGTCCTGGCTTGGCCCAGGTTCTTCTGGACGGGGCAGGCGGATGGCGGAGCCCCGCTGAAGATAGAGTTACAACTTTCTTTTTTCTTCAACCAATCCTCTTTTCAAAGTCGGCATCATCAGCCGATCATCTCTAAAAGCTCGGCGTCAGCAGGCTGCTCAGTAAGCTGCGGCGGCGGTGACATCGGCGGGGAATTACAATCCCACCAATAGCCATCAGCAAGAGCAGGCCATATCAAACCCCAGTGCCGCCCCCAGTTGGGGCCAAACCTCACAAGGGTCCTAATTAGATGCGAGTCGTCAAACTCCGCGTGCGGGAAAGTGTAGTAGCCTAACTCCCAGAGCCACCCCGTAATCAGGATCCCAGGGAACACAGACACCTCGAACGTGGATGATTTCGTACAGGTTGGTGGGTATTCAGTCCGAAAATGTGTGATGCTGATTTTGCCGATCCCAGTTTCGGAGGTCCAGACGCACGTGTTCGCGAGTTCTCGGAGGCCGTTCGTCCCGTGTGCTGCCGTCTGCGGGCTAGGTACACTGAGAGGAGGGGAAGAGGGATGCGAGGTGCAGGAGGGATGGATGGGAGGGGAGGGACGGGAGATGGGACTGAGAGGATCGTGCGAGAGGGAGGTGGAGAGGCGGGACAGGAGAGGGAGTGAGGTGGACAGGGCGGAGGTGGATGGGGAATGTGATATACTAGTGATTCCCACTCGTCGAAATATTCGTAGGGTTCCGAGTCTCGGGTGTAGCACTAGTGTCAGCCATGCGTTCGCACCCGCCGCGCGGTGCTCATCCTTGTGTCCGTGCCTGCAAATTTGGGCACACGACGGCTGGCGAAGACATCACCCACCTCTTCTCCACCTCTATCCGCCTCATCTTCCCGTCCCCACCCCCCTCGTCCCATCCATTACCGATCATGTTATTGCATTTCGTCAACGCGCTCCCACGACCCGTATCAATGCATCGCGCCGATGCTCAACGCGGCGCGACGCCGATCAACGTTTGGCGTTGAGGGGCGTCGCGTCGCGTTGATCTCGGCGGCCTGCTCATCGATTCTGGTCTTGGGAACGTGCATCGCACGGCACAGCGAAGTGGCACTTGCCAAATTAACGAATGACCTCGTGGTCCTGAGAGATGGCGAGGGTGCGGCGTAAGCAAACAGAGCGTGAGCAAGAGTGCGAGAGGGTGTTACAATGGAAGAGAGATCAGGGTTTGGTGAGATACGCGAGATGAAGGAAGTGATGCTTCCCTTCGCCTCGCGAAACGTGATTACTGCTCTAAACAGAACTCTGTCACGGTTGCGATGGCGTCTGCGAACGAGTCTGGGTATTCTTGGGAAGCAGACAGAACAGCGCGCTTGCCAGTAGTCCACGAGCGATCACCACTCGATCCTCGCGGTGTCAAACGCGTCAATTGCTTAGTGCTGAGACCTTTCGGCTTGCGTTTGTTCCGCCTGACCAAGTGTTTATTCGCGAGGTCACGCGGAGCATTCGTATAAATCTCTAGCATCTTCGATGCCGCAGGTGCGCCGAATTGGGCTAGCGATGTTGTGATGCGGTACCCTCTTGCAAATATAGTTGCATCGCGCACCCATGGCACTTGAAACATCAAAGAGCAGATAGGTTGCTCGATCGAAAAGTACACACCGCGGATCGAACACAGTGTCACCAACCAAGCTAGGATTACAGAAGCGAAATTGGCATTCTTTACACTCGGGTGGTCATCATTACCCAACACCCCCCATCCGTTCAGACACCGCTGGAACGAGAAACGGGTCAGAAACGACAACCACGTTTTGCATTCAGGAGACGCCCACATTGTTGCCCTGGGCTTCAGATTCCACACGCAATATGTAGCGTAGATGCACCCGAGCACGGTAGTGATGTCCTGCGACGTGTCATCTCTGATCTCAAACGTTGCAACGTTGTGCCCACGGTCATAGAGAGCGTCGGCAGCAGCACCAGCGCCAGCGAAGAGCAATAGTAGAGAGAAATGCCGGTCGCATTCGCACGGCCAGCGCGGGAGAACCTGAGGTGCAAATTATTTCAAAGAACTCGAATGGGCCGTCTCACAACCCCTGCAACATAAATCTCCGATCGGCCCGCGGGGCCGTCGCTGTGTTGGGGCAGTGCCGTAGATCGAAACCGAGGGCTGGGGCTTGGAGGGGTGTCTCGAGCTACAAAGTGGGAGTACAAGGATGGAGAGCAAGATTGAATGGGAGAGCACGAGGGAGAGGGAGAGGCGGCAGGATGAGAGAGCGAGTGCGATATTGGGCCCGCAGAGCCTGCGTCGAAATAAGCTCGACGACGCGGTGCGCCTCCAGCGAGTGTGGCACCGTGGCGTCTTGCCGCCGCACCCCTGCAGCCTCGCAGAGATCCTCAGCCATCGTCGGCATCCACGATGGCATGCACAGCTCGAGTGGCATAGAGTAGGCAATATGGGTCACTCATCCAGGGGAACATAAATCCGCTTGTCTAAACCCAAATGCGCTATGGTTCGGAACATCTTGAAGATCCGAGGTTCAAACTTGATTTGATGGGCTCGCTCGGCACACGATCGAAACAATAGGTTGAGTGTCTCATCAACCCACACGCTGTAGTGTGTAGGATTCCCCTGAAATCGGATCCTTGGGTCACGAAAGACATGAGGGAGGGGAGAGGCAGGATGAGGAAGCAGAGGAGGATACTAAAGATGAGGAGGAGGAGGAGGAGGAG